ATATCTGTATCATCTATATCTATATCTATATATCCATATATCTATATATATCTATATATCTCTATATATCTATATCTCTATATCTCTATATCTCTATATCTCTATATCTCTATATATCTATATATCTGTATCTCTCTATATCTCTATATCTCTATATCTCTATATCTCTATATATCTATATATCTATATATCTATATCTGTATCATCTATGTTGATATCTATATATGTCTATGTCTATGCCTATATCAGTATCTATATCTGTATCTATCTATATCTATTTATCTATATCTATGTCTATATCTATATCTATATCTTTGTATCTATATATCTATATCTGTATCTATATGTCTATATCTATATACCTCTATCTATCTATCTATCTATCTATCTATCTATCTATCTATCTATCTATCTCTATATATCTGTATCTCTATCTCTCTATCTCTTTATCTCTATCTGTATATCTATATAATATATATAGAATATATTTATAGAATTGTATATATATAATACAAATATAAAAATATTCTAGATGATGATCTATAATAAATATATATTTAAATGTCTATTATATGTATTATATTATATATAAAATATGTATAAAATCTAGTCTATTCTATTATATAATAATATATAATGTATATAAATATAATATATTATAATATATATTATTATATCTAGTGTAGATGTTTATACATATATTTAATAGATATTATTATTTATATAGAATATATTATTTATATATAATATATAATATATAATATATAAGATATATTATATCTTATATAAGATATAATATATAATATATATAGAATATAGAATATAGAATATAGAATATAGAATACATATTATTTTTATATAATATATAATATATAATATATAATATATAATATATAATATATAATATATAATATAAAAGAATAGACATAATTTATAAAAATATAATAAAATGTATAGAATTTATATATTATATATTTATATTAGAATATAATATATATATATTATATTATATAATATGTAATATATTATAGATATTATATTATAGATATTACATATTATATGACATATAAGATCTCACTTCCACAACATCCCCATAACCCCCACAGAGGAGAGGCAATCCTCCTGAACTCCTCTGCCTCCAGGAGCACGGAGAATTTCCAATCACAGCAATTAAATATCACTTAATTAATTGTTATTTTTAATTTACACTTGCAGGTTTCCTGTTTCAAGCTGAATGGTTGTGCCAGCCCTCTGCACTGCCTGGGCTTGCAGTGCTATGGAGTGTTCTTACAGGTACAGTATCCCCACGGGCAGAAGGCAAGTAGCACTAATAAAAAAAAAGAAAATTAAGATGTTTTTCCTTAAATTCATCTGTCTTTTGAGAGATTTTTAAAAAATAGAAACTGTTTTTTAGGTGTTTTCGGTTTTTTTTTTTGGGTGGTGTTTATTCACACGGTTCTCAGAGTTTTCTTTCTGGTGCTGAAAAGTTGCTGATTTGGCTGCTGAGAATTCCTTGGCCTGGATTTCACTCCCAACCAGTCTGGGTTTTGATTAGCAATTTATTACCTAAGAAAAGAGGGGAGAAAGGGAACATTTTATCACACAGCTCCAAATTCACACCTCAAGAGCAGAGATGCTTTAGTTTCCAGGGAAATTGTTCCACACATCAGAGGCCAGAGCAGTTTCTGCTTGTGGTAGCTGAAAATTAATATAAAACAAATATAAAAATTAAAATCCTGTCTTAGAAAAGCAGGTGATTATTGCTGCTGGGACATTTTATAGCAAATACCTTACACAGAGCAGTCACAAATCAGATTTTGGGACACTCTCAGCAGCTTTTGGGATGCATCAGGCTGATGAATTCCTGCTTTCTAACTCTTCAAATCACGTTAGAAAGTTTCTTTTCTGGCCAATTTCGGTATCAAGGCCTTAAGCACCACCTGAGGCAGGTAAAGGCTTCCCTGCCCTCCACTCAGGTATGACCCTTCCCCCTTCTCCCTAGAGACTGCAGGGTAGATTGTGTTTATCTGCTGTCAGTGCTGGCTTGGGAATGGGATTTCTGCTCAGTCTCCTCATTTTCCCTTTCCTTGGGAACAGAATTCCTGCTCAATCTCATTTTCCCTTTCCTTGGGAACAGAATTCCTGCTCAATCTCATTCTCCCTTTCCTTGGGAAAGGAATTTCTGCTCAATCTCATTTTCTTTCCCATTGGGAACAGAATTCCTGCTCCATCTCCTCATTTTCCCTCCCCTCCAGATCCTGACCGCAGGCTGGGATGAGCTCGAGTGCCACCGGGTGTTCAATTTCCTCTGGGAGCTCAGCAATTTAGCCCGGAAGGTGCAGACGGTTGTCAGCAGCAAACCAGGTAACCCAGACAGCCCCAAAACCCCGAAATTCCAGAGGGCAGGAACAGCTCCAGACAGCCCCAAACCCCCGACATTCCAGAGGGCAGGAACAGCTCCAGACAGCCCCAAACCCCGAAATTCCAGAGGGCAGGAACAGCTCCAGACAGCCCCAAACCCCGAAATTCCAGAGGGCAGGAGCAGCTCCAGACAGCCCCAAACCCCGAAATTCCAGAGGGCAGGAACAGCTCCGGGCTGCTGCCAGCGCGATGTGGGTGGGACTGAGGCTCGGCTCGGCTCCTGACCCTGCTGGGAGCATCCTACAGCGAGTTGTGGACCTTCACCCCCATGGACAGGGCTCCCCAGGGGCGGAGAGGGGTGATTTTTGTCTCTGATTTGTCTTGAGGGGCCTTCAGAGATTTTAAATCATTCCCTTATCCATTATCATCACTCGGATCTCTTTCTCAGTAAAGCGGATTTGAATCGTCCCTGCTCCACACCAGTGAAGTCAGTGGGAGATGGACCCAGTTAGGAATAAAATGAAGCAGTAACAAGTGAGGTTTAACATTTCTGAACCCCAACACGGGTGGGACAAACGCCTCTCAAGAAACCCTCCCATTTCCCAACACAGGGAATTTCTTTGGAACTCTCCACTCCTTCCTCCAGAAGGGTGAAACCTCCTGGAAAACCCCAGGAGCCCAAACCCCCCGAGCTGAGAGCCCTGCAGGCTCCCAGAGGCTGCACCCACACATCCCCCACCCAAACCGGGGCAAAGCATCAAAATTCAGCGAGCAGGAGGCGAAAACCCGAATGAAAAACATCAGGAAAATTCCCTTTCCCTTCCCTTTGGAGTGAGGCAGGCTGAGCCCAGCCCGTTTTTCCCAGGCAGCGCCCGGAGGCTGGAGCTGCGGATCCGCCTGTACTGCCGGGGGGTGTTGCTGTCACCCGGGAGCCACCGCAGCGACTGCGCCTTCTGGCTCACCCGCATCCTCAAACCCTGGCCCATGGTCAACCAGGCCCGCCTGCTCTACATCATCTTCGGGCCCGTGTCCTCCCGTGACGGTGAGAAAAGGGGGGCCCCGGGGGAGGAGATTCCCCCCAAAAATGTGATTTGGAGTCACGGAGTTATGGGGTGGGTTGGGAGGATGTGGCAGGGATGTCTCCCGCTGTGCCAGGCTGCTCCAGACTGGATGGGGACACTTCCAGGGATCCGGGGGGAGCCACTGGGAAATCCATCCCAGCCCCTCAGCATCCTCCCGGAGAGGAGAGGAGAGGAGAGGAGGGAAGGGAAGGTGCGGGAAGGTGCGGGAAGGTGCGGGAAGGTGCGGGAAGGGAAGGTGCGGGAAGGTGCGGGAAGGGAAGGTGCGGGAAGGTGCGGGAAGGTGCGGGAAGGGAAGGT